ACCTGGACGCATAAAATCTTAGATAAATATTGACCGAAGTGTAGCAATAAAAAAATCAGAAATCTGTTGCGTTGCATAATAAAATCAAAATAAATTATGAGAGCTCCGCCCAAAAATCATTATATTATTGGTTATAGAGAGTTTTAAGGGAGGAGTTTATATACTGCGCATGCGCAATGGTATATTGCGTCGCCACGTCACTTAATCTAATTAGTTGTGTGCACACCAGTCGAGTAGGAAGATTTAAGTAGGAAATTATCACGGTTGACGCGGGCGCTAAACGGCGAACAAAGAAACGGAGGGCATATTAACGCAATTAATGCTCTCGCATCTTCATAAAACTTGTAAATTTGTTCGCTCGCATTCTACATCTACATGTATATATATCTCGTATGTCGAGCCAGTGATAAAAATACATTGTTTGCGCACCTAGTTTCCATTTTGAGCATACAAAGCATCCGAAGATGTGATAAATCATCTTGTAAACTGTGACATTGCGACACAAATTATAATTTTATATAAATTAATATTAATTAACGCGTAAAAGTTTTTAAAACTTTTAAAGTTCGACTCTGTGTAGTGATGTGCACGCAATTTCACCAATTAAGAAGTAAATTTTAGATTATAGTGATTTATATGTTTGTTGGGTTGCATACTTACAATTATGAAGAGATACATTGATTAAATAATTAGTATGTAATTAATTTTACGTACATTACGGTTTATTATTATGATAAAAATGCATTTTTAATGTTTGGGAGCTCCACCCATTTTTACAATGCGCATGCGTTAAAGTAACCAATGTTATAATATAGGAAGTCATCTTTACGAAACAAAATATTATTTAAAACATAATTATACCATCAACTCTTTAAGTAAATTAAAATATATAATTTCACACATTATTATTTTATAAAAATTAATTAACAAACGCTTCAAAATTAAAAAATTAAATTAAAGTTCGACCCTGTCAAATGTTGTGCGCGCACTTTCACCAATTATCAAATTTTAGTAGTGCGGACTGCCGCCGCCGTTGAAAGAAAGCCATGCGTGCTGAAACTGGTCTCAGTCGGTTTGGCCCGGCGCATGCGTATGACGAAATGATCGACTTTGGCGTAACACTCCAAAGTAAAAATCATTTAATAATGCTCTGACGTTGATGCAAAGGTCATGATTTTATTTTAATGGGGACGTCCGAATATCGCTTTCACTAATTATGTGCAATTAAAATCGAATATTTCAGATATAAGCGATTTCGTGACTTCCGTAAACTCAATCACACACTCGATACACATCATCATCATTATCTTCTCAACCGTCATGATAAACTAAACAAAAATTTGCAAAAAAAAATTATTTGTGAAATAGAAAAATGTGGGTGGAAACAAAAATGTCAACATTCACATTATCATCAATCTGCTCCAATTTGCAAATTTGACTTCTAATCTTACGAATTCATACGGTTATGCAAGTTTTGCGCTAAAAACTTCGCAACTCTGTCACCACAAACGAAAGGTGTATTATAAACTTTTATTAACACATTACATAACTTCTAAAATATTATTTATACATACGAGTATGTATGTGTTGATTATAATTGATTCCCAATTTACATTGTAAAGATGCGTGCGATGTGAACAACGTGTCTTAAAACTTTAAAGGTCCCGCCGCGGCTCCACCTTCGAGCCGTCTCGAACATGTTTCTGATCGAAAGCGAACGCGCACCATCGCTTACACCTAATTACATATTATTTTATTGAGTGCGTGCGTCGTCTACGTCGTGCGCGAGTATCGAACACATCATTCCAAGGACTCGTGGAAGTTTTTTTCTACAAGTTCGACATTTTTCATGCAGTTTCTTTATAAGTAGTGAGATATGTGATTTATCTGATGAAATTCATTACGTGGCAGATTATAGTGATTTTTATGTTTGTTTGGTTGCATACTTACAATTACATGGAGGTATATTGATTAAATATTTAGTGTGTAATTAATTTTACATATATTATGGATTGTTATCTTTGTAATAATAAAAAATAATTAATAATATGTGTTTGGGAGCTCCGCCCATTTTTATACTGCGCATGCGCTAACGTGACCAATGTTAAAGTATAGGAAATTGTGTTTACGGAATGAAATGTCATTTTTTAAATATTTAAAGTGTACGGTTTTTAAGGAAATTAAAATTTTTGATTTTTTTGAATCGATTAAATAGATTTTTGTGTTTTTGGTTGCATACTTATAATTATTAAAATATATATTGAATGAATATCATGATTATCATGAATAATTAGTGTTTGAGAGCTCCGCCCATTTTTTTACTGCGCATGCGCAAAACCTGCCAATGTTATACTATACGAAATCATATTTAGGTATATAATAAAATCTAAGTTTAAAACATTGTAACCGTAATTTCTTTAAGTAAATTATAATTTATGATTTTTCAGTTCTTTGAATTGATCAATATGCAAAACAAGTTCCCTACGCCCGCCGTCAATAACAACATATGCGTCACCACAATTTGTGTTTTCCTGAAACAACTCGTAAACGTAACCGGGAATTTCCTTGCGCATTCCAGGTGTAAAAATTACGCGACTTAACATATTTGCTACTTATAAATAACCCCAAATTAAGTAATTGCACTACGATAACACGAAAATGCGTTAAGGTGAAAAAACCGGCGTGCATCCTACAACCGAAATTACCGTACGTAATTAATCTCATGTTTACACGCGTATATACAAATTAACATGAGTGATTTGCGAGGACGACAAGCTTAGGAGTATGCAAACATAACACAAAAACGTATGAATTTAGTGAGTAAATCATCTGCGCACGCGTCTCACACGATGTTCCGACGTTCAGCGAGTGTGTTTGTAATAAAAATCATAATTATAATAATTAATATCAGTTATGTAAACTGTGCGCATGCACTGAAACAAAAGAAATGCGAATTGAAAGGTGCGGTACGTGCGATTTTTACCAATCGCGAATTTTAAAAATGGATGCCATAAATGTACAACACCGCAGGTTTACCATTAGTGAATAAAGCGAGGTTCGGTGTGAATTTTTATTGCTCATTTTTTCAACTTTGCAATTTCTATTTATTTATTTTAGTTTTTATTCTATTCTGTCTCTCACATTAGAGTGTTATGTTTTGTGTGTTGATGGGCTGGCACTGTCCGTGCTTATGCTCGGGTTTTCTATGCTTTTGTGCATTCGGAACGCGCAGCGGCTTGCGAAACGAAAAATTATCAAAACGTGCGCCCGGCGACGATTGTGACTATAACCTTGCGCATTGCGCATAACCCAAATCGCATTTTTTTAAAATTAATATTTAAACATATTTTAACGATAAATGTACGCATATAGCCTCTGGAAAAGCCATAGTAAGTCATTTTTATGAGGAAAACCGTGTAATTGTCAAATTGTAGGCTATGATGAATGAAATGCATTGTTGATTAGTCGCGGCCAGTTATTCGGTTTAAAATGTCCGAATTTATTGTCTGTGATATCACTTGTTATTTTTATTCGTAATTTTACGATTTTTACGGTCACACTCAACACCTTTGTGTAATTGGCAGTTGAATGATTTATTTTTTGATGACAGTTTTAACAGTGAAAATATTAGGTTATATAAGTTCAAAAACAATTTTTCAGTAAAATTCAAAAGAAAACCATTGATAAGATTATTTATCAACAATAAATATTATAATTTTTGTATTTCTTAGCAAAAAATTTGTCAAACAAGTTGCCTATCTTAGGTGAGTTACATGTGTTATTAAAGTTGCATACATTAACCTGTCATAAATACAAGATGAAATACAAGCTACCAATTTAAATTTTACGTTTTACTACACTATCGTATTGTTGTTATGCTGCAATATACAAAAAACGCAATCAGAAACAAAGTTGTAAACATTGATCACTTAAACCGATACGATTGTACACTACACCGCCGATTACAATGTGTTTATCACCTCCCGATGAATGATTGAAAAATAAAATCAAAGTGCGCAGTATCAAGTGAAAAATGCGGCCTAATCCATACGATAGACACCTGATTCATTTACGAACAAGCGAGAGAGCACAGAAAAAACCGTGGGCGATAAAATCAGTTTCGTCGAGTGCCCGCCGATTGCGATAGCAATTATCGTTTTCGTTTTATATTCAAATATTTTTATTTCGCCGCGCGCGAGAGTGGTGGCATGCGTGTGGCAATCAGGCCGTCGAAAGTCAAAACCAAAACACCTTGATAGCGAATGGAAAATAATAAATGCGTCGTGCACGTTTCCTCGAATCGGGGAGAGGATGTGTGGAATTTGGGCATGTTTGGCATTCGAAGAGCGAGAGCGAACGTGATACCTCGCTCGTGATCCTCGAGATTGCATGAAATGCAGGATGGGACGGATGTTGATAAGGAGAATGATCTTCACAGTCGGGAATTGTCATCAGCCAGCAACCCAATCATTAATCATTTAAGTGTAAAATGATTAATTTTTGCAATTTTTTTTAAATTTCAACCGCAAAAATATGCAATTAATCACATTATACTTGATATTTTTTCAAAATTAAATTTGTAAAGTTTTTAGTGAAAAAAATACTATACATTTTCAAGTACAACTCATTTTTGTAGGCAACCAACACTACCCAACAAATTTTATGTTGTTTTATGTTTCTTTTAGTACTAATTAAATGATTTTAAAGAAAAAACATAATTTAAAGCTATCATTAAACGTTTTTTGTCTATAATTATTGCTTAAATACGCTTTAAACTTATATTTTAACTACTTTAACCTTCAAAATTTTAAAATAAACCAATGTTACTAAATTATCTTTAAGTAAAGTAGCATTTACTTAATTATTTACTTAATTATATCAAAAAATGTTGATATAATCATTACTTTATATTATTTGCAATATTTGACTATAGGCAACCAACTTTACCACGCCAATTTCAAAACAACTAAAATAATTACTAAAAAAATTCAAAAACTCACCTCTGAAGCACTGGTAGCTCCCGAACTTAACGCCGGTGACATAATATGTACATCCCCAGGGATCCCTGGACTAATCGATCGGTTACCATATGACAACCCATTGTTAGTCACAATATTCGACTGCAAAACATCATTTGGCGCTGTTGTGGACGTCGGCGTCAGCGGGATATAACCCTGGACGTTCAAATTCAAATTCACACCATCACCATTTCCCATCCCTTGTATTTGCGGCGCGCAGCTTTGCGACAAGATATTGGTATTTGTATTACTGCTGGCGTTTTGTTGATACTCGTTAAGATACTGTCGGACCTGATTGCGTTGCTTTTGCATAACATGATACCGTGTAGGGTTCTCCAATTTAGTTTGAACCTAAATAAACAGAAAGAGAATAAACATATATGTAGATTATTGTATTGTATAATATTTAATTAATTGAATTGTTATAAAATTGATTGTGATTACTTGCAATATCTGTGGCGGCACATCAACGCCGATTTGATGCAGGGGTACACGGAGTGATTGCGGTGTTGATGGGGAGGATTGCTGTTGTTTTTCTTGGATGCGTGCGGCTCTTTCTCGGGCTATTTTGCGTTCTTGTTCTTGCATTGCCTGCTCGCGCATTAGTTGAAGTTTGAGGTGGGTTCGCGAGGGGTTGTTGCTGTTTTTAATGTTGGCGGACTAAAAAAGAAAGAAATTATTAGCACCCTGATCATTGATAACAAAATATTGAATATTTTATAGTACTAAAAGATAAAAATGAGTAAAAAGATAATTTGCTACCATTTTGTTCATGCGCACAAGAGATTTTTCAATATTCAACCATTTTACTGTTTTGTTAAGAAAATGTGCAGAAATAATGAAAAAGTTTGATTTACACGTTGCATTGCAAGTAACATGTTAAAAATCAGTAAGATGCTAGCACGTGCAATCGGAAAAGTTAAACCAACGCATGCGCGAAAGCTAATCATTACCATTTAAAATATTTACAAGTGAGATTTATCAATATTAACGCATACATAAACAAATGAACCATATGTTTTACTATTTTTAAATAAACTGAGCACAATTAGTGAAAATTAGTGAAAAGCTAATTTTACAACTTGCATTGCAACTGAAATGTCAAATAATCAAGATGGATACAAATCTATAACATGCGCATGCGTAATTCTAAAAGTTAAACTAACGCATGCGCAATTCCAATATCGTAACGCCCAACAAGGATATAACAAAACATGCCATATTCTAAATTCTAATCGAATGACATTGAATTCAATCGTTACTCATCTTGCATTCATCCAACTCTCATTATCGCAATCACAACACATACAATGTACATAATTTCATCCGTTGTATAATTTTAATTTTAAACATTTCTAAGAACATTTTTCTTCATTGTGTCTATTATTGCCAAATATTACTACTGCTAACTTTTATTATAATATACTTGCACAATAACTGAATTAACATTCAAAATATTTTCAAAAAACACGAGAAAATATTAACCCAACTTAACACTACATAATTGCAACACACAAAACAGAAACATTTCATCAAACTAGTACAACTTGTATTTGGATGTGCTGGATAATAGCACCGAGTTAAAATAAAAACGCCAACAATCATCAACGAAAAACATGTATTGTGTATGTATCATCGTGTTTTGTAAATAGGATTGGAATAAATGTAGAAGTGTGACCGGAGTTAGACACACAGCCCATAATTAAACTTAATTGATCTACAACACACACAACGCGCCCGGATCGCATCATCATATGGCTGTTCTCCACATCGAGGAGACAAACAGTTTAATTGTTTTTCAAAGGGTCAAAACTTCTTGACGTCTTATTTCGTATTGCACACAAGTTGGTATAAAGTGCGCAGGCGCCGTAATGACTGCTGGATTTTATTATGGGCGCTTTGAGGACAGTCAATATTTACATATTTATTTACTAATGCGTGTGTATGTGCATGTCTGACACATTGACGCGTTAATTGACCCACCAATTCGGAGCGTTGCAATAATTTACCAAATGCGAATTGAACTCGATTTAAAATATGAATTTTTTCGTAGTAAAATTTTGTTTCTATTTTTTTCTGGCCTTGATTTTAATGTATGTAGGGGAAAGTAGCCATATTTGGACCATTTTTATATTTTTTGATTTATAGAGCCACATATAAACTGTCAATAAAAATTAAGTAGCGGAAAAGTAACTCACAAGGCTTACCAACAAAATGATATTTTTGGTTTAAGTAAAAATTATATTTATACCCCTCAAATTTCAATTTAAAAAAATTGTGTTTTTGGTCCAAATTAAGAAACCGGTTTCCTAAATTGGACCGCGCGGTTTCCTAAATTGGACCATGCTTTTTTAACGGCAATTGACACAATAGTAAATTTTAGTTTTAGCACTAACACAAGCACATTTTGTATAAACCAAAGTGCGGCATTTCATACAGTGGATCATTTCGAAGATTTGTGCTCGTCCACAAGCATTTCTAGGAGGTCGAAAAAATGATTTACGTTTTCCCTGTAAAACTCCGGTGTCTGTCTTCGGTCCAACTTGGGCAACTTGAAGAATTTATATATAATGATTAACAGCAATCTTAATATAACATAACCTCTCAAAATTAATACTATAAATTATAGATAAATAAAGAAGCTTCCTGATGATAAAATAATAATCGGTAAAACTAACGTTTTAACGGCTTGACAGCTCTTGCACTTACGTCGTTATAATAGATTTGATAATCAATGATACACGAAGTTGTTGTCACGACGAAAGCACGCGGCAAGTTTTAACCCAAATAGTTGCATTAATTGTTTATAAATACGAGTAAAACAAGGGGCCAGTCAATTTTTGCATAAACTTCAACAGTCCGCGGATATCGTGGTGGTCCAACTTAGGCGCTGGTCCAAATTATGCTACCTTCCCCTATAAATAATAATGTTTAATTTAAATGGAGTGTTTGAATTTTGTGATAGGATGACTTTCTCAAATTTAGCACAGGGAATTAGTGGGACTGCACTAATCATTTACGCGCGTAATTTTAAACTCTCGATCGGATTTTTTCTTGTGTTTGTTCTTCGCATGTTTTCGCTTCGTTAGTGCGGTTGTAACTATATCAGCGGAATTAACACGTTTGGGAGTTGCGTAATCGACGGATTTAAGTGGCTTTAAATGCGAAAATGCGAAATGTCCAAATTGGTACAGACAGAAATCAGGTAGTAACAAAACTCTAAATTATTGTTAAATAAAATGTTACAATTTGTGAAATATTAAAAGAAATAGATTAATAAATACGTTTACAAAGTGTTTTGAACTTTTGATTTTTATGTTTTCCGAAGAAAAGACAAAAGAATTATGTTTTGTGATATTTATGTTTTTCCGAAGAAGAAAAATGAAAAAAAGTTTTTTAATTATCATGAAAAAATTGAAAAGTTTTATAGTCCTAGGGCGATATTTTTTAATTTAGTGCTATGGCAAGATGGCGTTCATGTTCCACTAAATGAGTATGTTACAAAATTACATAACCTTTAAATAGCTAACGGCGTTTTCCATGATGGTATACAAAATGAAGGTTAAACGTGAACTTATTAAATCAAGCCATGAACAAAAATGGCAATTACGTTAGTAGTACTTATCCAAATTTAAAAATTTAAAAGGATTTTTAAACATATCGTTTTTGGCTACTATCTTCAAAAAATTAAGAGACAACAAAATTGTTGCATGTTAAATATTAAATATCGCGTTTTTATCATTTGATTTGATTTTCTACAGTTAATTGACCATAAATTTAGCAATAATTAAGAGTTTAACATAACACTTGTTTCTTAGGCGTGCTAAATACATAATTAACCGCCATGCAAATTTTGAACTACTTTAAATAAACAGTTTTGCACAAATAAATAAACAAAAGTAAACAAACATCAAATAAACCAAAAAAATGTGTTTCTGTAATTAAAAAACAAATTATAATTTATAAAGAATGTGCAATAGTTAAAAATTCTTTGTGAAGTAATTAATAAATTCACTTGAACCCGTTTGAACGTTAGAAAGTAACCAAAAATTAAACTCCACTTAAAAATCCACCAGCAAATTGAAAATAAATTTCCATCGCATCGCATCGCTGTCAATATACATTAGGCTATTCATTAAGCTACAATGTATAATATAACTCAGTATATATTCCATAGCCTTCATTGTGATATATCATTTATCACAATATACGAGTATATCACCAAGAACCAGAGTTAAATCACGCTCTAAATTTTAAACTTTTAAACTATAGTTTAGACCATATGCTAGCCAATTTGCGAGTGTCCAGAGACACAACGTGACTATTTGCATGTTGAACCAACATGACTCATTCGAAAGTGATTTTTTGCCAAGTCCAAATATTCACTCATTAATTAATAACGGAACACGTGTTTAAAACGAGCTGAAAAAATTATCAATCAATAAAGGAGTGAAATTGATCGCTCGGGGAAATACAATACACGTGAACACGTGAATAGTGTGAAGAGTAAGTAGGTAAATCCATCAGATAAGAATCATTATCAATATAAACAAAGTGCCAATACCAGCACTTGAGCTTGAAAACAATGTCATATGATTAGTCACATTATTGTTATGCGAAATGTGAAATGGAAATATGAAATGTGCGAAAAAATGTTGATAATGCTTTATCAGTTATGAAATGCCATCGTAATTTTTTCAATTAAGAGCCTACAACTTGACATTTAATTAGTAAAAAGTAAGATTAGTGATTTCCTCGATTCCTGTTGATGTTATCACTTGAAGTTACGTCCAAACTCCAAATGATTAACAAGATAAGATGACAGAGGCAAAGTTTATAAACATGCGGTGTTTGTTTGGTTTTAAGTTTTGCAGATTGCGGCCGAAAACTATCATCGTGGATTTGATGGCGCGTGAAAAAATGTCTATTTTTAAGTTATTACGCTCACAGCCGAAATAAATAGTGATTCATTTGCGTACGTTTGAATTTTTCTTATCTTACACACCGCAAATGTTGTTGGAAAAGCATTTTTCAGTTATTTTACGCTGAAAAATGCATTTGCAACTGCAGGTTTTACATTTTTTACATTTTTAAATTATGACAGTGAAAAGTATTGCAACACGCGAATATTTTTCTGGTAGATATCAAATAACAGTGGGAAGGAATAAAACTGGCACTTCCTGACACAACATACATTAAATATAAAATATGATTAAATTAAAATGCACAAACCTAGATTATAAGTAAGGTTATTCCTGAAGTATGGTTAGATAAAGATATGCAACCAAATATACATAATACTATATTGTAACAATGACGATTATTTTTACTCTGTGATTTACGTAGGTTATGTTGTCATTGACCACATGGATGATGCATAAAAGCAACCGCTACGAAAAACTCGAGTTTTGTGTTGCTTATTCTTTAAATTAATCAGAAAACCAAATGATTAAATGCTTGGTCAAGTGATACGCTAATCAAGCAAGAATTTAATGCGCATTTTAATACTTTTATGTATGAAATAAAACAAAGTTACTATATCTTCTCTCTAAATTACAGAACAACTCGTAAAATATTAGAAAATATCAAGAAAAAATAAAAAAAAAGTAGTTTTCAAATCAGGTTATGTTGTTTGCTGGGCGCGCATCAAAAATATTATGTACCTTATCCCTTTTTAAGCTGTCAGAAAATTAATTAAATAAATTAAATTAAATTCAAGACATTTATGGATGAGTAAACAAGCAATTTTGCATAAATATTAAATATTCTAATAAATTTAAATGTTATTCGCAAATTATTGCACAATTCAATTAAATTTCACACAATTTTCCAGACTTTTACAGCAGTAAAGCAGTCTAATAAATTTTTGGCAAGCTTTATTCCCGTCTACATCTATTGCATTTACTGCTATTGAACTTCACGCTTCAGGATGAAATAAAACGCGTAGGGGAGAGTAGGGTAATGGGAGTCAGCGGGTAATGGGAGTCACCCATATATCCACGAAACAATAGTTACGAGTACCGCGTAAACGGCGTTCCTACCTCCGTTCTGGCCCCCCAGTGCCACCCCCAAAAAATCATGCAAATCGGTGCGTGTATCATTGAGATACGCCAATATTTTATTTTTGAGCTCCGCTGATCTAATTTTACGTCCACGCAAATTAGAAGATAAGTGTCGAATATCTTGCAATATTCGAATCAAACTTTTATATAGTCTTAGTTAAACATTCAAAATCGTGATGTGCAGTTCAGATTACATTAATGTTTTGAAGAAATATTTTTTTTGTTTTTTTTTTCACAATAGTGCAATTGTGGGCAATGGGAGTCATGCGACTCCCAATGGACGTTTTTGTCTTTAGTCCGCTCTAAATGGCCTATAAAAAGCAATGTGACTTATTTTTCAATAGCCTTCATGCAGAAACGATACTGCAGGAAAGTAACAAAACTTATGATTCCTATATTGGCACTGATGACTTATGCCAGGGCAATGAGGATGAAAATTTGGAAAAGAGATGTCTAATGTGCAACGATTTAAAAAAACAATGAAATGTGGTTCAGATGCACCTCATGTGAGCTATGGGCTCATGTGGAATGCACTGGGTGGGTCTTAGCGGAATATTATGTCTGCGATATCTGCTAGATTTCGTTTGATTCCGATTGTCCCCAGGGTGACCACCATTACCCGCATGTCGGTGTAATGGGAGTCAAATCTGTTTTTTTTTTAAACTTTAATAATATCCAAAATTAATTATTAAAGTGGCTGAAAATTATATCAAATAATAGTGTTTTAAGTAAACAATGCTTATAGGCGGTTGCAATAAGTATTTTGTTAATAATTGAAATTATATTTGAGTTTTTCCTTAAGTGACCCCCATTACCCTCTTTTACCCTACGTGGTGAGGAGCTTGTCGAACGTTTCTGGGCCCGGTGCCAATCGCCAAAATGATTATTACCATAATAATAATAATAATAATAAAACAAACTTAAATCTCAACTATAACTAATAATATCCGCAGTTTTCAGCAGTTTCATATTTATACTGTGGGAAAGGATTGAAAATGATTCCATCAAAGATTTAAGATGAATTCTGGTGCATACTGGTACCAATACTCATCGGTTTCGTCTAATTATCCTTGAACCGGGCCGGCATGCGCGTTCATTGGTCGCAAAACGCGATGGGTAACAAGCGAGAAAAAACACGCCCGCCGGTGCATCGCGACGTAACTCGTTTTCCAGCAAAACTACACGATAATCCACTACATATTAATAAATAAATAAATACAAACAACGAAACAACACTTGTTTTCACCACATTTTGGGCTTGCTTTATGTTTATTAGCATGGTATTTGCGGTTTTGGGAATTTTTTGGATGAAAAAAGAAGTAAATATTGAATGAGGTAAAAAATATCGGTAGAAATTTAGTTATATTGTGTGTTAAGTGTGCAAAATCAGAGTTTTAGACGCGGTAAGGTAAAAAAATATTTTAAAAATTTGTAAAATCTGATAAAATCTTTGTTTTTTTTATTTTTTAGTTGTTTTGCTTACAACATAGAAAAAAATAAATTGGAAATTGTGTATTAAGTGTGTAAAACTAGTATTTTAAACACTTCACATTAATTTTGAGGTTAGATCAAAGTTAAAACCTTAATTAAGCAACAAAAGTACAAAATAAACGTAGAATTTAAAAATTGGCATTAAAAATGTTTTAAAAAGTACTTTTTTGCACGTGTGTTCAAAATGATAACTATATAGGTACACACAATACAACACCAAAATAGTTGAAGTTTGCACATTATCTACCAAAAAAACGAATTTTAAGAATAATGTTCCATGTTTTCAGTGGTTGCCAATAGCAACGTGTATAAAAATACCTTTTACAAACAAGTGACTTAAAAGTAATATGTTTACCTTTCATTAAGCGTCATCGCTTTGGACTTAAGCTCGTAAAACTCCTTATTCTTTGGTGTACCCAACAACTCATCGAAATCAATCAGATCCTGCAAATCCTGCAGCTCGATGTCAAAGTTCAAATCAACGCCACTTTCAGCCATGTTCATTTCTTTTTATTACCCGAAATACCCAATAAATTAAATATTAACGTAATCCGCATGGATCATAATACGATTTGTTTACACTCGCGGCGTCTACGAGCACAACGCGGCGGCGGCATCCGCGCGCGAACTGTCAAAACAATACTTTGGCGCATAATTCGCCACGCAAGAAACAAGCAGCTAGCGCTAGCGATCGAATGTGTTAAATTACGCGAACCGTGCTCGTCCGCGACCAGTCGCCGTGCGCTTGACCCGCCGGCGAGCGAACTATGTTTAAATCGGCGGTCATTACGCGCGCAAGTAAGTCACACTTGCGCAGTAGCGGCGCACTTCAAAATACATGGCGGCGCGAGGAAGTAAGTCAGGTGCGCGCGAGATTTGCATAATTTACGATGCGACAAACAATTCATTCACAGCGATTTGTTTTATCAGTAGACAATCACGAGTCCCAACCCATTTTGATTCATTATCGATAATGTGCATTATATCATTCATAATAAACAAAATAACTTAACTTAAGTCATAAAAGTCAAGTTTAAGATGCGAAAAATAACAAATCAATTAATTGTGGGAAATTTTTGAGAAAATAAAAAATTAAATATTGATTGTGATAAAATATCTTTACTTAAGTAATGAAACTTAAATCTTAAGTCATAAAAAATAAAAAATAAATGAATTTTGATTTTTTTTGCAAAAAATACGAATTAATTATTGAATGTAGCAAAATGTCTTAACTTAAGTGATGTCACGAGAAGTTAAGTCATAAAAAATAGAAAATAAATCAATTTTGGCATTTTTTTTTTCGAAAAACTATAAACTCAATATTGAATGAGACCAAATGACTTAACTTAAGTCATGTAAATTAAAGTTTAAGTCATGAAAAATTAAAAATTAATAAATTCTGAGAATATTTCGGAAAAAAAATAAATATTACGTATTGAATATGACAAAATAACTTAACTTAAGTAAAAAAACTTAAAGCTCAGTCATGAAAAATCAAAAATAAATAAATACAACCAACAAATCAATGTTTTGAAAACAGAAAGAATTAAATATTGAATGTGACTTAACTTAAGTAATACATTTAAAGTTTAAGTCATTAAAAACTAGAAACATTCTGTTTTTAATTCTTAAAACGCAATTTAAGCATGAAATTTATTTTTTGATGACAAATCAGCTCCGAATTGCAATAATTTTAAGCAATATTGCAATTTTTCAACGCTTGTACGCTTAATTAGTATTATGAACGCTTGGTGTGTCAGTTGTGACGAAGAAATTGTTGTAAATGGCGCGCCTCCAAGTCGTGCGAACCGCCGCCGTGCTATTTGCGGCGTTTGTCGCCGCCGCACGCTCCTATGACATACGTTTCGACGTCTTAGATATGTCGGACATGTGGAGCGAATTCAAGGTAAACTTCGCGAAATAAAAACAAGAGAAACTCGCACGAAACGTAGACTTTCCGCTTTTCATCTGCTGCGAGTCCTGCTGATGTAGAACTTTTCAGTTTTGTCTAGTTTTTACTCGAACCGAGTGCCGTAATGCGCAAAAATTCTTGGCACGAGTTTCGGACGCGTGTAATTCGCGTTTAAGTGCACCTTTATAGAGCGCACGTCATCAAAAACATTAAAACTATATGTGTGCTAAATAAATATTAATATAAATACTGTTTAAGGATCGTTTTAATAAAACTTACCATGGAGATCATGATGAGAGTAGGAAGGAAGCTTGGCAGGATAATATGCAGAAGATTATGCGGCATAATGCTGAAGCGGATGAAGGAAAACACAGCTTTTATATCAAGGATAATCATTTGAGTGATTTGGTACGTAATTATTAACTTTTATGTGGGAACATTTGAGAGACACGTTTTGTGCGTGCACTAACCAAATCTAACCTTAAAATATTGTGTTTTTGTACTCATGACACGTATCAGTGTTACCAACTTAATAAAATAAAATTTCCTGTGTCTTTCTTATAGCCACCGCAACTTTATCTTCAAAAAATGGTGAAACTCACCCATAGTAATCATCGAAAAGCACCAGATCCTGAAATAGTTGGTGATTTCTTTCATTATCTGCATAATATTCCAGAAGAATTAGACTGGCGTAAGAAGGGATTCAAAACACCGATTTATAACCAAAAAGATTGTGGTTCTTGTTATGCGTTTTCGATTGCAACTGTTCTACAAGCGCAAGTTTTTAAACAAACGAATAAACTTGTACCGTTAAGCGAGCAACAAATCGTAGACTGCAGTGTATCAACTGGTAATTATGGTTGTGGAGGTGGATCTCTTCGAAATACGTTGAAATATCTTGATAAATGCGGTGGACTTATGGCATATCAAGACTATCCATATCTTGCAAAGGTATTATACAAATTTAAATGAAATTTTCCAGTGGTTAATGCTTCTTTGTAGCAAAAAAAGTGTGAGTTTGACAACAGTAGAGCCATGGTTAATGTAAGTTCATGGGCGATTTTACCAGCTAGAGATGAACGTGCTTTAGAAATCGCCTTGGCAAGGATTGGACCTATTGCTGCGAGTATAAACGCAAGCCCACGCACTTTTCAATTATACCAGTAAGTAAAAAAAAAAACAAATAAATTAACTTCATTTGCGTCGCTTGCAATACATGCTGTGCCATCTAGTGGTATATAACCAAACTAAGTCATTATGTTATTTGGAACATGGCGAAGGTTAAAAACCAATAAAAAAAATGATAATTGTAATAAATTAATGTTATTATTACAGTAAAGGCATTTACGATGACGAGGCATGTTCATCAAACACGGTAAATCATGCAATGCTCCTCGTGGGCTACACAAAAGACGCCTGGATCCTGAAGAACTGGTGGGGCAGTCATTGGGGTGAAAATGGCTACATGCGACTCAGAAAGAACAAAAATCGATGCGGAGTAGCCAATTATGCTGCTTATGCTTTAGTATAATATAAAAAAAAAACATAACAAGAATGTTTGTAAGTACTTTTTCTACGTTTGTAATAAAATTTAAATGCATTTGTTATCAATGATAAATATGGCAAACTTGTTTACCTTACCGTATTTCAAATTAAGCAAACTATGCTGTATTATCGCATAGTTAAAAGTGGAATTTTTCAATTTATCACAAATAACTGCGTTAAAATACCACAAATCATATAAATATCATCTTTATTGTATAATACAAATAATAATGAAGTAATTCATATGTAGCAAGAACGACGACTTACTTTTACAATGTGTGTGTATTCATGTTCGCATTTGAACTAAAAGTATCAAAGCAGAAGATAATCAAACTTAAAACGGTTTGATTCATCCACCATTACTACATCAATGTATGACTGGTTGTCGCCATCGTTAGTGTCAGTGCATAACCAACCAACAAGCGTGTTAATTGTAGTATTGTTTCCTTCTTAATTTCCTACAGAGTGAAAGAAATAGCATGAAAAATGTTCAAACGGCTCGATGAAACAAAGACTGAAAAAAAACATGAAAGACAATCAAAAAAATCGCAAACAAAATACAAATTTTAAACTTAACAATCATTTAGAAAGAGGGCGCTGCCCTCTGACACAAAATATTAATATTAAATTATGAAAAACTCATTTTACATGAATAGAATATGATCGAGCCGCTGAAAAGTTTCACTCCTGCTCAAAATTCACTCTGTGTGGCATCTTTTTGCTCTTGCTTGCTTTCATCATACACATTATCAAAAATATGACGCAATATTGTCTCACGACGCTTTTGATTTTGCTTTGTATTACATTTTTCCGCATCTATCGAGTATCAAATAAACTATATCGTAAAAAAGTAGTGCACAAAAACGGTGAGAGATAATAGAATACGAAATGACATGAAGACCTTCCATTTCCACCAAACTTCACACCACCAACCACTTCCTGCCCCGCGACTGTCCTTGCCCTTTTCTTCTTTAGTACACTATCACAGTCATTTTAACACATGGTGTTATGGATGATTTGTTAAAAAATGTTCATGTTTTCTCCACGGATCCTAACTAATCATAAGTTATAGATAATTTTTAACCATGATATATAGAGTCCACGACTTGTACATAAATATAACAAAATTTGCATCGATTAAATTATATCCGCTTCATCATTTCTTCCTTCATTGCTCTGCACGTCATATAAATCGTATATATGTTAATTATGTGTAACATTTCCATCAGTTTAAGAGACCACATCAATTTTTAATAATAATGTTTAAATTTTATATAATTTAATATGTTCATTTGTTTTGTTTTTATCACATCACATGGTTTTAAGCACTTTTTCCTTATATTAATCATTTCTCACTCGTAGCGTAATTAATTCCTTGTCCAGCTTTGTATTAAATCGAATGTGAATGGATGGGATAGGCTAGGGTTGTATTCAGAGACTCGTTGTGTATCTCCAGCGAATTCTTCGCGTAGTGCAGCACTAGTTCCTTGAGCGACCGATAGATGTTGTACGGCTCGGCGAAACCTAAGCCTCGCGGTGTTTCGTAGATGATGCAATGATTCACGCAGCCGTTACACGCGATTGAGAGCGCATACTGATTGGTGCTGGATTTGCGGATGAGGAACGTGCCGCCCGGCTTGCCAGCGAGAAGTTTTTCGGCGGTTGGACGATCGCAGTTCAGTTTCTGCCATGTGCTCTCGTCATTGTGCGGTAAGTTGTCGCTGTCGTCGAAGATAATGGAGTCGTAGTCGTCCATCTTGACACCTTTGTTGACCAAGCATCTAAAAACACAAATTTACATTTAATAAATAAAAATATCATTTTTTGACAATAAATTCTTACTTTTTGTACTTGTCGCGTTCATTAAACAACTCGACAATGTCCGGTTTTAAAGACGTGATCTCCCGTTCAAGTGCTCGATTGAACGCTTCGCCTTGCTTGACAATCTTTTCAAGTTGTTCACAACTTTCTTCCATCGCAGTTCGTCTTTCCCGCAGAACTTCCGAATTGTTTTTCACGCCTTCTTTCTCGTGTGGCTGTGCTTCCGCCTGAATTTTCTCATGAATCAACGTATGTTCTTTAAACACCTTCACCAATTCTTTCAACGCGTCTAAAGAATGACGTTTAAACTCTAATTGGCGTTGATTACGCTCCAGATCACCATTGAGAGTGTTCAACAGCTTGTTTTTATCCGCAAGACTAGCACACACCTCGATAAAGTGCTGTTTTAGTTTATCCACATTATTATCATTCATAAGTCGATCCTCCTGGTCCTCCTTGTTGAATTTCGACAGAGGATACATCAGTTTAATATCCAAAGAAGCGTTGTATGCAGAAAGTGATTTGGTGCGAAAGTTGTTGATGAGTTCCACAACAGATGTAAACGCATACGGTGCGGTGAAGCCATAGAGACCGTTGCAGTGACATATTTTGATCAGTTTATTAGCGCCGCCTTTACGCAGCGTGAGCGTGTACTCTCCGGACTTATTCGAGGCATCACGCACCAAAAATGTGCCATCGCAGGTATCATTTAGTTTTTCATTGACTTCCTCGCGTTTTATATCACCCCAGTACCATTCTTGATGTTGGAGATTATTACTCGCTGGTTTTTCTTTGTCGCGTTCACGTTCCAGCGTCATATGCGAAGCGCCGACTCTGGAGACTTTCCGCGGTGGTATTGCTGGTACAGCGGCGAATTCCGGAAGAGTTACACCCCAGTTATGGTGAAGAAGGAGGGTTTCTACTATACGGTTGTGTAATTGTGTATTGTACACCACTTGTCTATAGAAAAACAATGAAAATTTAGCTTTGAAGCGTTAAAAATTTAAATTTTAACTTACATTATATGTTCCCATGGTGGACGTAAAAGTAAATGGCACATGACTTGTACTAGCACGTTCGGCAGACTCTTGTTGCCACGCGCGTGCTCCATTTGGCACATCCGACACAAATGCGACATGACAAACTGCAGGGTGCTGCGATGCGGCGTAGGTATTTCCTGCACCAGCGCATTCAGTTGGGAGATACAGTGGCTGTCAACGCGCGATTCTATCAAAGAAAAAGCACAATAAAAATACAAATAAACACTTTAGGCATTCCAAAGTATAAAATACATACTTGCAGCTTCCAAAAATCGATCGTACCACTGCACAGGAATGATAGGATCGGGCAACTCGCGCAAATACATCTTGATCACGTTGGCGATGCACGCGGGAGAATACTCCGACAGCTCCACCTTCTGCTCCTCGTTGAGTTTGCGTTTCAATTCGTACACTTGGTCACCAAGCGCTGAGGCCACGTAGAGGTTGTAAAGTTCTAGATTTGTGTTCGATTCAGCCAAGTTCTCCAATTCTTGCATCAAAAATACCAACTGAAATGATAAAAATTAGTTTTAGCTGCTGTAGAAAAAGTTTATGTGTTTTGTAAACTTACAATTTTCGGAGCTGGCGATTCCGCTGGATCGAACTGGACGCAGAGACTTTGTCCAAACTTGCCCACAGACTTCTTGTTGGACGCCTTGCATGGTGACGCCAATCCTGACTTTGCACATGTTCTATGCGCCACAATTCCGCAATCTACAAACAAAAAAACAAGAAAAATATAGGTAAAATACTCAAAAACAAAACAAAAACTTAATACTTTTATATAAACTAATAAATCTAGAAAGATATTCGTATGATGACATTATACCACACAAACGATTAATTCACGACTAAACTGACCGATTTTCAGCAAAAATAATTAACAGTAATGTTTAAAAAACCACTCCAACTTCCTGGATGACATTGCCTAAACAATTACATCAGAATCACACAAATCCTATGCAAGAATTGCTTGTGGTCGCCGCGAAAAACGGAAAATCCTTCTTATTCACATCGAAAAACAGTGTAAATTTAGGCCAGCCAACACAATAGCCACCAGCATAAATAATTTATACCAGAATGTTTGAAAATAAATGCACATTAATGCAAGACCGCCTGAAATTATACAATTCGTCATCTAACCTTGCGTTGTCATGTTAATAACGCGTTTGTATTTTTTGTGTATTTCGCGCAAAATTAAGTGTGAAAAGTGGAGATTTATCGGGTTTACCTTGACACGAAACGCCTTGATGCAGTAATCCTCTGAGATACTTGTTACATTTTGTACATTTCTCCAGCGAGCTGAAACTCTGCTGGAGCATGTTGTGCGCGTCGAGTTCGTCGCACGGGCTGACATCGTGCAGATGCTCGCCATCCTCTGTTTTAGTATACAACAGCTCATTGACGCAATTGAGGATCGTTTTCTGGTGGAATTCTTCTTTGATACCCATTATCTACAAATATATTAAGTATTAGTTAAGGAAAATTAAAATTTTGTTGATTTTTTTACTTACTGTAAGTTTTTCTTTGTCCAAATTCAAAAGGTCCGTGCCTTTGATGTCCTTGCACCTGAAGACGTCCGAGTACGTATACAAATTCAGCGCGGCCATCCATTCGATCACATTCGCCGAAGTCCACTCTGCGATCGGCTGCAAACAAACAAACAGAAACAATTGAACTTTTGAACAGTTTTCAACTTTCTAAACGCGCTGAAAACCAGCGATATCAAGCAGTGTATATACACACACGAACTGCGTGGGTGCGACTTTGCACTTCAATCTTTTCCACAATTCCACATTGGAAATATTTTCAGTATGTGTGTAATTCGGGTCGAATTACGGAAACCACGCTCGGTAGAAATCTAACAAACAGAGCGCGCGGTGCGCTGTGCGCGTGTACAACATTCAACATCAAGTTGGAATTAAAATGAAATTTGTGCGTTACGCACCGTGTGCGTTTTGTGCGAAACAATGACGAATAATAAACGAGCTGTGCGATATACGCGATGTATGTAAAATTGAAGCGCGCCGTGTTGCGCTGCCAATTTGTCCAAATTACTGGCTGGAGCAACACCATGGCGGGTGTATGTAGTTAGTGCGCAACAGGCTATTCCAGAGCCAAAATTTAATTATGCTCGCGAAACTTTTTCCAACGCAGAAAACATTGCGGAGGCGCGCACAACGCAGATGGTTGTGCTTCGCGCCCGGCCGGCGCGGTCTCTGGTCTCATCTACATCAAATATTTACATTGTAATGTTTAAACTCGATGAGATGCGAAATACTCCGCCGGAGCCCGGCTGCGCGTTTCGATTAAACACACATGGATGTATTTATTTGGCGAGCTTTTATTTGCATTTCACACTCGAAACGCGAAAAATAAGAGAAAATGCAGTAAAATGCATTAATAATTCACAAAACGAGAAAAATTGATAAATATTTGATAGGAAAAATGAAATTTTGGAGATTTTTTTGGGGAAAATATTTAAAAAAACTAAAACAGAAACAATTTTGCGTGTTTTGTTTAAACTTTATTGCATTGAACGGTAGAAAATAGCGAAAAACTCAAACTTTGTTTAATAAATCAATAGTTAAACTTTAAAATTGAGTTATTCTTCGTTTGGGAATTATATTTGATGCATTAAAAGTACATTAATAAATCACAAAAGCAAAAAGCTTTATTAAATATTTAAAAAATGTAAATTTTTCACATTTTCCTTGAAAAAAGTTTCAAAAATCATCATTTTAACTTACATTTTCTGCGCATTTAATATATTTATAGATATTCATGGTTTTCTAAAACAATTTGACACATTTAATTGCAAATTTATTGAAGCAAAACAGCGCAAAACAGCAAAAAACACTAAATTACTTTAATAAATCAATATTTAAATTCAAAACTTTAATTTTTCTTCATTTGCAAGTTTAATATTTCGCCAAAGAAAACATTTTCGAATTTCTCTCTACAAACGGTTTGCAAATGAATATTTTGTTAAGAAAAATTACTTTCAGTTATAAACTTAAACGCAATTCACTCAAAACCTTCATTTCCCTGCCAATTTCCACAAATTCCTACAAAAAACCTTAATATTTTGAAAATGCAAGCCAAAATAAACATTTTTCGATTCGTTTCCACCCATAGTCATAATAAAATTTAAATTAAATTAATAATAATTTGCGAGTTCAATAAAACCGGCATCTAAATTTACAACTGACATAATAATAATATTTGAAGCAGTGCCAGTGAATAATGCGTTCCCCAATTCGCACGCCAATCTTTTCGCTTTTAATAATCCGCGATGCACTACATACGCACTACATCCATTGCCCGTTTTGGCCGTTAACAACAATAAATTGCACTTTCGGACGTTTCTCCACGAAATACATGTGCGTAGCGGCGCGCTGGCAAGCCAAGCCACTTCACCAGCGCGTCGATAAGCCGCCGACACCAACACTACTACTATCACACGCCGCCGCCCGCCATTATCGCATGATACGCGACGATTGCGCCGCGCGCGGCCAACACAAAGCACACGCGGTTTATATGAATCACACGGGCCGCGGAAACACCGCAAGGCGACAATTGTTTGCATGTGTGTACTATATACACTCATCATATATACGCGGCGTTCGTAATTCGTGTACAAATTTACTTATGCATTACATAATGCGCCAACATCGTTAGTAACAAATTCGAGCGCGAGCGCGCGTCTAGCCGCTAGACGACGACGACTTGCTGTCTCACATGAGGACTACGAGAGAGTCACTAGCCCCCTGACTAGCAACATATACAAAAATGCGCCGGCAACAACGACATCGAGTCGAGAGACGCGAACGAAAAAAAAAATGTAAACGCGCGCGCTCGTTTCCGATCGATAAGTTTTTATCAAATTTACATTATTGCCACACGACGCGCGCGCAGTCATATTTTACGCCCGGTAATGTTATTCCTGTCGCATTATATAATCGTTTTTATGAGCTTTTATCATCTTTACGAAATGAATTTTACATAAATCACGTACGCAACGCAACCAGACGGCGCGCGCTGGATTAAGATTTAAATATTACAAATTACACACAAGAATAAATATTGAAATAAATATATTTAATTAATTAATGATTTTGATACAACTGCATCGTTGGCAGCGCGCAAGATTGAATGTGAAACAATGGCGCAAGGAGAACGTTTAACCTTGGAGTTGTTTTCGCGGCACGTGCGTCGTCGCCACCCCCGCAGCCACGCATCCGCACGCATACAGTGGGGGCGAGGGTGGCCCAGTGGCAAACAAAACTTTGTCGAGGCAAATATCTCAACTATTTCCAGATTAAATTTTTATTTTTACGCGACAAAACAATACCGAAAATATTTTTAGATAAAAAAAGCACACATTGTGGCAGTTTTTTAGATTCCTTTGTTACATTTTCAAGGTAAGCGTAATTATTTTGATAAAATAAGTAAAAGTAAATGAGGAATGACTATTTGGGTGAATTTTTGTCTAAGTGTATATTTAAAACACGACTTAATTAGAGATTTTCGTAAATTTGATGTTGATTTCGTAAAAGTAAGAATTTATTAAAGTTGGGCAACTTTAATGTCATTATTGGTATATTGCAAGTTCTTATTGAACGTTTTACTGATTATTAAGCCTATTTTCTTCTTAAAACATTGATTTTTAAGAAAAAAAAAAAATTCATAAAATTTGATTTCATATTATGTTTTTTCACTTTCAATCTAAGAATTTATCAAAGTTAGGCAACTTTAATATCATTATACGTGTATTTCTATTTTTTAGCGAACGTTTTTGCGTTTTTAAACAATTTCTAAAGAATTACAATTCTTTAAACATAAAGAACTTCAAAATTCATGTTTCTTTCACTTTCAAACTAAAATTTTCGATATAAATTTAAGCCTAATTTAGCTAAAAGTATATTTAATCAAATATAGGCAACTTTAATAACATTATACTAGTAAAACATCAATTTTTAAACTTTGTAAAACTAAAAAAACCTCAAAACCCCTAAAAATTTGATTAAATCTTCAGTTTTTTTGAAAAATGTTCAATATAAATCCGTGATATGCGAGGCGAGTGGCTGTGGATGCGACAATGGAATGCGGGTGTGCTGTGTGTGCTTGAGCCGCGGTCACGGGGACACGATATTCAAACTTTCGGAACGTCCTCGAACGTCCGCGCCGTCCGCCGAATCTCACGACGCCGCATGGTCAGTCAAGTCGAAGTCGAAGTCACAAAAACCGAGGTGTAGTGTATGGTATACACATACATATACGCATATGCTTTTTATATAGGTATATGTATGTGAGTGTGTTGTATAAACGCCGGAGCTCCGTCTCCGACTTCGGCTCCTCCCGGCAGTTTCAAGAAACGAGCGGATTTTTAAAGCGAAACGCTATGATGAAGCAGCAGGCAGCGAACACGAACGACTTGGAACTTTGCGCGCTTCCAAAACCAGCACACACACATACAAATACAACGCACGCGGTTCTCCGCGCTCGCATAATTTCGGTATAAAATTAACTCAAGGTTGTGTCCCCCTGCGCGGCGCGCGCGCGCGATACCTTGTTTCATTAAAGTCGTTTTCTTCACGTTCACGTTTGAATATTTCAAGTGTGGCAGAGAGACCGGTAGCCACTGGCCGCGGTAGCAATTGTTACAAAAAAAAAAACTTTCAATTCAATATTACCAAATCAAATCAAATGGAATCAAATCCAAATTTCGTCATACAGAAATTTAAATTTCATTAAATTTATTCTTCGCAGAATCAATATCAATACTTTACCAGATATTGAAGTATTCAGCATTTTGACTACCAGGAAACAATAGCCGGTAATAAAATGCTCGTTGAAGCATCGCACATAAAAATTGGCACTTTAGAAATGTTGAAATAATGAACTCGTCACTTATTTCACGCGCGTTTACATTCTCGCACGTGGAGGTTAAAATGCCACGTGGTACACTCATTCAATTGCATATGTGCAACAAAGTTGCAACGCCAAACACAAAACAAATTAAATTAATAAACAAATAAACAAAATAAAATAATGATCAGAATTTGATTGTAAAAAATTTATCGTTAATTTCTAGGAAGTAATTTCACCATCTTTCTATTTTCATGAATATTAATCCACAAGACAGTGCAATGTAAATTTAATTAATCGTCAGTCGGTAATAAAATTTCAACTCTTACGAATTTTACTATTTCCTGGACTTAGATGCGTATTTTAAATGATTTCCAAGTAATCCAAAGTATTTACATCATTCATAAATGAATATTATAACAATCATTCGGGAATTTGATTGTTTATTTAATTACTAAAGCTATATACAACTTTTTAGACCTAAACATTTGTAAAAATAATTTTTTTATTAAATTTTATGATTCTTTTCACTTTCACACTAAAATTTGTAAAATAAATTTAATGTTAATGTAGTAAAAAGTGCTTTTTTATCAATGTTAGTCAGCTTTATGTCATTATTCGTAAATTACTAGTTTTTTACCGAATTTTTTTGTGTTTCTTAGGCATATTTACTTGCCGAAACATCGATTTTCAAAAATTATGCTTTTTAAACCGAAAATAACACAAAAGAGCAATTATTGGATTAAATTTTATGCTTTTATACTTACAAACAAAAGTT